ACACACAGTCACACACACACACACACGCGCGCGCGCGCGCGCGCGAGCCATTCGAAAAACAGGAGGCGATACATCCGATCACCACAGCTCAACTGAAATAGCCCACACGATGTACCGGAGACACGAGCTCCCGAATCCCACTGTATAAATGAGAATCAAGGAGCTTAGAACTTCATTTCTATTAATTACTTCTCCTTGGCATGAATGCAGTGTGAAGATTTAGTAGTCAAGTCGTTCACTAATTGACACCACCCCATATACCTTAGAATTAAGATAGGATAAGATACATCTTCATTGTCCAGATCCTTGCACATAAGTTTCACCACGTACACACACACACACACACACACATACACACAGCGCGTGCGCACACGCACACACGCACCCACACACACACACACACACACACGAACATGCACACACACACACGTAGGCTTACATTCACATGCTATTATATAAATGAACAATAATATAAACAATATTAAGCTAGATCAGACTCAATGTTACTCTGGTGCATGCTCCAAGATCGTATGAATTAATATTATGAATGCTTGTAACTCTACCTTTTAAAACTTTTATAACCTCGTACCTCACTCCCTTCTCCCTGACCCCACTCGATCTCCACCTCCGTTTCCTTCTCCTGTAGCCTGTAACCCATATATTCCGTACGTCGTGATTTACTATATCCATACGACGTGGGGAACACTGTGCCACAACTTTCCGAAGAGGAAATGAGGAAATTTACTGGTTAAACCGATCCGCACGCTTTGCATAGTAGTCTGTCAAAATGATTTTGAGAAATACTGAAAGTTTCAAAGAGATCTTGGTACATTTACTTGAAGTATTCTAAATTAATGTGAAGAATACAATCCCGGGGTACAAAATGACCCAGGGCGTACGGATAGGGTTACGTGAATAATCAGGCTTTACGATGATACGTGCGTTATCAGTTCAGGCAAAGTGTGAAAGCAGGATGTGAAGAAAAGTTTATTGCCTTTTGGCTTGACTAAAACACGTTCTATTACATATTTTTTACTTAGAAATGGAACGGGTTATTAGGTAGTCTAAACAGATTGGTTATATTAGATATATCTGTGGAGGAATTTCACGAGCGGTTATTAATTATGGATCGAGTGCTTTTAGACGGAGAACATTGCACAATGGGTCACCTATCCTATAAGAGTAGCATAGCCTATATTAAGCCTACGGTATATTAAAGCGCACACACACACACACACACACACACACACACACACATACACACACACTCTCTCTCTCTCTCTCTCTCTCTCTCTCTCTCTCTCTCTCACACACACACACACACACACACACACACACACACACACACACACACACACACACGTAGATTAACTCTTTTTAGTATACGGAAGGCTAATCCACTTTTCAAAATCAAAGCAGCTAATTTTGTCATCCGTTTATTTTTTCAGCATCACAGTTCCCTAGATATATAGGGCTATCGCCCTGTTCCCTTTTGATCTGCATGCACAAAATAAAAACCAAACTGAGAAGTAATGAATGGTGATTGATAATCTTTGCAATATGCAGTTCCCATTGCACCCAAGCTACGAGATCTAGACAATAGATTTAAGTTGCTACGGGTAAATCGAGTGCAGAGTCGCAGTCGGACTGTTTTCTCTGCTGTTTCTTCCTCTTTCTTTCTTACTAACTGACTATTCATTACACCATCTGGCGTTTAGGGCAGCATCAAAAGGATCTCTGTCTGTTTTTGGGCCATCTTGGTCAACGTCCCCAACGAATGGTTCCAGGACTTCATTTCAGACTCTACTGTGCGTCTCCAGGAATAGATATAAGGGTTTCTCCAGTTGCTGTTCTCAGCCTGTCGGATCCTGTCTGGTGACTTTCACTTATGCCCACAATGTGCAATCCATATCTCTTCATCTCTGCCGTTACTTGTGCCAACTTACCAGTTTCGTACATTGTCCTTACATTCCACAGTCCTATGATAACTTTTGTCTTTGCGGTGTTCAGGTCCTCCATCTTCCTGCAAACAGCTTCCTTGCGCTTTCACTGCCAGCATTGATACGAATCCCAAGAGACTCTGAAGGTCCGTTACACACAAAAATATGGTATATCTTAGTTGCTGTTTCCGTAACATATGATTTTTACCAGTCTGGGTCGTTAGCCCTGAGCTGAACCTCCAAAACATGGAACATTTTAAGTAAAATCTACGCGAAATTTCATGTTGATAGCTTAAATAGTTCTAAGGGCATGCGCTTCTAAAGTTAGTATGTCGAGTTCAGACCCCCCCCCCCCTTTTCCGGCTCCCGGCAAGCCAGGTGGACACGTGTAGGCTACTGCAGCCACGCCGGGTGAATTGGGTTAATGAAGACAAGATTTTCAGGTTTTTCGTGGATTTTTGTTACATAATTATGAACAATTACAGCAGAATTTTAACATCATTTGAGCCAGCTGAACTGGAGAAAAGGTAAATTTAATAGTTTTAGTTGATCATTACTATAATTAACTACTACTACTACTACTACTACTACTACTACTACTACTACTACTACTACTACTACTACTACTACTACTACTACTACTACTACTACTACTAGACGCTAGACCTATTTATAAACCTGTACTACCACTACATGTACTACTTATACGTACTAGATTTAACTATATAATAGCAAGTTCCAGTTTCCGAAACTACTAATGTATAAATTGGCCCGTTGGAGTCGAGCCTCACAGCTGTGTGAAGTTTTTGACCTAAAAAAACGGTAACTTTAAGCTAAAAGTAAATTTGTATGAAAGCTCCTAGAAAAAAAAGTTGACCAGAATCTAGGCCTGATGACACTTTTTTTTTTTATAGCGTCGATAAGCTCAAATTCCAGCTGGACACTTGGGCACACTTACCGTTCGTACATTAGTCACAACAATAAATACCACAATGTATAGGTACATTGCATACCAGACAATGACAAGCCAGCTGCTATATAACGTCAAATAACTAGTCTAGGCGGCTAGGCTACCGCCAACTAGGCTAATGATACTAGCATAATATCAGAAAGGACAAAGCTGATATTATTACCAAAGATCGGACATAACAAGATAGTTCACTCAGCTAAAGAAGTGTCCGCGGAACCGCGCATTGGTTCAGATGGCGTTGGTTCGATACTCTTTTTCGTTCTCCTGAATAATAGGAATAGCACAGTTCGTTGGTTTCGCTTTTATTATTTTTCACAAAAGTAGGCCTAGGGTAACTCTGTTCGCAAAGTCCGCACTTTTTCAAAGAGGACGCCACCGAATTTTGAGGACACTTTTTCAAATTCGCTCAAAGAGAGGAGTGGACTATCTTGTTATACACGATCTTTGTTGTTAGTTGTTACCAGAGAGTTTATAGTGTTGTTACCACAATTAATTGTTTTTTGGTATCGATACTAACTCCAAAAAGGAAAAGCGTCGGTTATCCCGACCCTCCCACCTCCCTCATCCGCTGTCGTCCTGTCAAATCCTCGCCGGCAGGCCAGGCAAGCGCATGAAGTATCAAGGCGAAACTCTCTCAACCTTGCAGCAACGACCGTGCCGTTGATAGACGATTGTGAATGGGGTGTAACCATTCACAAGCTTGCATAGATAGTTGAAAGGCCAGTGTTAGCCTACTACAGTTGGGCAAGTAGATCTACTGAGTAAGGGCTTCTGCAGCAGATTGAATTTGCAAGGTAAGCTTATTGTTTCAAACCACTCCGACTGCGTCTGCTAGATCTATCTAGATATCTAGATCTACATACATATAATCTATACTCTAGACTCTAGATCTAATATCTAGATTTAAGGGTAAGCTTGAATAATACCGGACCAGGGGACTGACTTTTGGCCTATGTGTCAACCTTAGGAATTCATGATTTTCCCCAGTTTTTAATAGATCTCTTAGTCTCAATGGAGAATCTCGGACCGGTAGATCTATTCTTTAAAAATGTGTCAGGGGGTAGACCCCCTGAACCCCCCACCCCCTAAAAGTGCTCAGTTTCCCCCAGCACCAAAGCCTGCAAGGTGTATCCATACTGATTGTTCCGGTAGCTGTTTGATGATTATGGCGACGTTTTTCCTTTCCAGATAATCATTCCTTTCTTCCTTCTCCCCTCTCTATCCCCATTTCCCGCATCCTAATGATTGTGTGGTGTTCTGCTGTCTCCCTGTCTTCTTCATCCCGCAACTTTTTCTCCAGGATCGTCAGCACTTCTCCTTTGTCAAATTTCACCTCACCATCAACCACGCCACTGCCTGCCAGCCTAGTATCAGCCTCCTCATTGCCTTTCACTCCAGAGTGCCTAGGACAGAATATCCCTGTGATGCGACTCTAATTTAAGTGACGAGTGTTGTATTGGGTTCATCCATTCACTCCGAAGAAGCCCTTTCTCAACCCTTCATAAGATGCTCTGAGGATCTGTGACAATGATGAGATAGGTAGCTGTTCTTGGTCTTGTATTTTGAAGCCAGCCAAGTGCTCTTGTTACGGCCTCAATCTCCCTTTTCATGCGTGAAGTTGCTCTTTCTATGGCCCCTGACATGCTATGAACCTTTTTGTTCCCACTATACTATACACCATAAAACCCCATTCAGTTCTCTCACCCCTCCTGGCCGATCTATTCGTATAGATGATCACTGGGTCCTCTGGCTTGGAATGCTCCTCAATTAACTGTCCTATGTCATTGTCGTTAATGACAGCAGCACATTCCCGTCTTTCACGACCCTAGATCTAGATTCTACACTCTCAAGACAAGAGACCAAGTAACGAACATTCTGTCTGAATGAAAAACTTTGGTAGTGACAGGATGAAAGTCTTCATAAATATAGATCTAGGCCTAACATGAACAGTACGTAGATCTAGACCCTATGGTAATTTGCTGGTGATTGAATGCATAGGCCTTTTTACCCTAAAGAGAACTTAAAATCATACTTAATGAATGGATGCATGATAGACTGTATAGTGAAATCATGTCTAATAGGCCTACATGAAGCTACAGCAAGCACCTAGCACCCCTGATTGGCCCAAATATAGATGACAAGAAATAAATGCTGTCTGTGCTTTTCCAATGCGGGACTATATTTCAGTGCCTGTTCCTCTCTCTGTGTCAATTATGCTCCCTAGACAGCAGAAGGATTTGACGTCTTCTTGTGCATTTCCTTGTACTGTGACCTGCTCCTTTCGTAGTGCATCTATCCTTAGGACTTTTGACTTTCCGGGGTGGATCCTCAATCCAAAAGTACAGACTCTGATAGGCTGTTTAAAATTGTTGTCTTTGCTTGCATCTGTTCCTGAGTGTGTGACAGAAGCGCCAAGTTATCTGCAAAATCCAGATCATCCAACTATGTCCATGGGGTCCACTGTATGCCATTTATATGTCCTCTGGTGGTTTCCTTCATCAGCCAGTCGATTGCTAAAATAAAGAGGAAAGGTGATAGTAAACATCCCTGTCTCACGCCAGTCTTGATGTAAAAGCTGTCAGTGAGCTGGCCATCATGTATAACCCTGCAACTTGTCATTTCGTACATGCTCCAGATGAGGTTATTTGTTTTTCACTCTTGGTCCTTTACTGTTACTTCTGGTTTCCCATATTTTCCAGAAAGAATCTTCGTAGTCTGGTAAAGGATTCACATGTTCCTTCCTGCTGCTGCCTCCTCTGCCCTCACCGCAAGCCTGTTCATGAATTCCCCCTTGTCTTTTCTCAGTTATCTCTTTACATCTTAAGCTCTTTTCCTGTACTGCTCCAATGCGTTCGCTTTTGATCCCGTTGTTCTACTTGCATTTGTCTCTGCTTTCAATTGTCTTCTAATGCTAATCAAATTCAATGACTGTTGGCTAATCCATTCCTTATGCTCCAATTTCTTCTCGCCGAGTATTTCTTGACATGTTGAAGTAAAGACTTCTTTGACCTTGGTCCAGTGCATCTCCACCTCCATGTCCTCCTCACCAAGATCCACCAAGGGTTGAAATCTGTTCCTCAACTGTAGTTGAAACTCCTGTTTCATGTGTCGGTCTGAAAGACTTACTTGGAACTTCATTCTTTTGATTCCTGTTCTGGTTCCGTGCTTTTTGAGATGTAGCTTGAGTTTTGCTAAAAGCAGATGATGATCCGATCCAACGTCTGCCCCTCTCTGTACTTTGACATCTTCCAGTGTACGTCTGAACCTACGAGAGATACAAAAATGATCGATCTGGTTGTGTGTCACTCCCTCCGGTGATACACAAGTAGCCTTGTGGAATCGTTATGTGGGGAAAAACAGCCTCCGATGACAAGACTGTTGAAAGCACAGATATTTGCAAATCGCTTTCTGTTTTCATTCATTTGTCCCAGGCCATGTTGTCCCATGATTCCCTCGTTCCCTACGTTGTCCTGACCAATCTTGGCGTTAGTTTCTCCCATTATGATGTTGACATCCTTCCTTGGCAGTTTGTCGATGACCCCCTGGAGCCAGCTGTAAAAAGCATCCTTGTCTTCATCCAAAGCATCATTTGTAGGGGCGAAGATCTGAATTATGTTCATGTTGATGCTCTTACTCCTGGTAGTGAAAGAAGCCATGATGATCCTCTCCCCCTGTGGTTCCCATCAGTGACTTCTGTGCATACTTACTCAAAATAATTCCAACTCCCTCGGCATGGTGCTTGTCTTCCCTCCCAGAGTACAATATTTGTTCCCCCGAGCTGAGCTGCTTCTGTCCAGACTGTATCCAATGGGTTTTGCTGACTCCTAGTATGTGCAACCTGTATCTTTTCATCTCTTGTACCTCTTGAGAACTCTTTCCTGCTTCATACATGGTGCGAACATTCTACGACGCAATCTGGAGAGACTTGTTCGACAGAGCAGGTTTCGGGTCAGAAGAGTCCTTTCGGCTGTCTGCTGTCCTTCATTGTTCCTGCTGATACAGAAGCTCCTCCGTCTCCCAAGATGGAAAAATTATAAGGCGTGTTTGTTCGTGTTTCTATAACTTTCCTTTTTTACTGGGAAGGGTAGTTGACCCTCCGCAAACTGGCACTTTTCGGGTGGCCAGATCGATGCATCTGTAGTTGCCTCTTACGACACGCAGTATCACGGCAGCGGTATTCTTTAGTGACCCCACCTGCTGGGGTGACACACACATTAGTAACTCAAGATCTGAATTATGCTGTATAGTTGCAGAAAGCAGGTCATTCCTCTTCATAAATCATGAGGGTGTTGGTTACTGGGTCTCAAGGGAAAGTGTGTCATGAACTTTCACTCGCTTATCAGGGTTTGAATGAAGAGCACAAGAAAATCCTTTCTCTTTACAGTTTTCAGGAGTTTATTTTCTTTACCATTTTTTTTTACATTTTATGTTAGCCCTAGAGACATATAAGTGGCCCTTCACTAGTGGTGGATGGGGACTCTGAAAGTCCTTTAAAACTTTTTAAGGATGAAGCGGACACTTCCAATCGGCAGTAGACCAAATGTATTGGTGTGGCACATTTTGGATCGTCAGAAACGCAAGTTTGCTTAATATATTTCCAAGTGTGCATACTGTTGCCTGCCTTTTAAAGTTTCAGAGAAAGAAAATAGAATTTAAAAATCTGCTGCACAAATTTAAGAAGATATATACTTCAAACAGTGCGCCTTCAAACATTGTTGTGTGACTAGAATGCGCATCCTCAAAGGGTTATTAATGAACACATTTAGAGCATCTCACCGTTCAACAGCGAGCTTTAAGCGCTCTGCAGTCTATATTATTACTCCAGCAGACCCTAGAACACTCGGGAACGTCAGATCTGGGTTTTTTAGGAAGGGAACAGTGCAAGCAGACGATTAGATTAATGAAGCACTCAAAATGTAAGGATCATTAGCCGTCTACAGCCGTGTACCCATTCACACATGGGTGAAGTGAGGAAAATTCATGTAAAGTGCCTCAATCAAGGACACTGTGTTCAGCCCCTCATGGAGTTCGAATCATAAGACAAGATCACCAATGCCCCTTTAACTAATGAGTTTTCGATCTAGATTTGAGGATACAGGGCTGGAGTAGGTGTCTAGATCTAGCAGATCACCTGAGACCGGAGAAGGGTTTAAAAAAATTGTGCAAGCAGTTGTAGATCTAGAGGTCTATTAGAGGTAGCTTATATTTCCAGTAGTTACTGTAGTGTGTGTGTGCGTGCGTGTGTGCGTGCGTGTGTGCGTGCGTGTGTGCGTGCGTGTGTGCGTGCGTGCGTGCATGCGTGTGTGCATGCGTGTGTTTCTATGTGTGTGTGTGTGTATGTTTCGGTGTACACGGTGGGTAGCTATAGACTCAGTTGAAATAGAAAGCTCCTACTTGTTTTTTCCTGTATAAATGTATACTTTTAATACTTTCCACTAAATATCTAATCAGACTGACTCTGGGACTCTTTCTGAATAAGATTGTTTATTGGTATATTATTTAGAAGTTAAGTATATCAAAACATTGCTCAAATTTAATGATTAAAAATTTATTTTTTTTGGTCACTCCAGTTTTGCTGAAAAGGTTTATCAAATTAAAAGGCGCAACCATGTCGGACGACAGACTTGGACAACATCATCATCATCAGCATGATCAGGCTCATCAGACCTTTGAGCCGCCAAAATCATTGTCTGCCACGTCTCACGTGAAAGACTTTCAGGAGTACCAGCGAATGTACAAGCAGTCGGTGGGAGATCCAGAGGCATTCTGGGGACAAATCGCGGAACAGTTTCATTGGGAATCTCCACCTGATGGCGCTTTCGTGAATTACAATTTTGACACCCGAAAAGGATCAATTTTCATCAAATGGATGGAAGGGGCCAAAACCAATATTGCTTACAACATGTTGGATAGAAATGTGAAAAATGGCCTAGGGAACAAAATTGCATTTTACTGGTAAGTTGGTAAGTAGAGTACATTGTCTAATGGCTTATCATAGAGTATGACTAAACTCATCCTCCTAAATGACATTTTTGAGATTAGGAAATTTAAATTAAAGCGAAAGTGTCGAGTGTGCCCTTTTTGACATATGTCTCTTCCTTTTTGACACTGACGTCAAGTCTTCATACATGATAGCCATACAATTGTGTTTTATCTCCATCTTATGAGTAACTTAGTTCTCAGCATTTTCAGCACAATAGTTGTTGCCCATTGTCCAGAATATTGAAGCTTTGGAATCACAATGTAACTACATTTTGAACAACATGTATTTCGTACACTGTCTGTATAACTAGTATCAAGTTTAAAACTTTGTCAGAATAATTTCAGACAGGTTTGTTTAAACAACGACCACCTTCCTGTCCTAAACCGCATTTCCTTTCATGGTGAATCGAAAAAGGGTATGAGTTATGCCAGCACAATCGTCTCTAACTATTAATTTACGTCATTGTGGACAATTTATTTGCTTACTGTCCTGTTAATACATACACCATCATTCTTCTCGCGTTGACGGTAACACAAATGTAAATTCACTCTGACAATCACATGCATGTGTACCTGTACTCACCCATATAAGTGCAGACATTACAACACAGACACTGCTGACAGCACTCACAACATGGTGCAAACTTGAGACATTTTTGCTCTAACTTCGTGCATACAGAGGGTTTAATAAGAGTTCACGCACTCTATTTTCCACAAAATTATTGTGGTACCGGCTGATATTTTCCCTCATATCCCCCCTCCCGACTCGTTGGGAAAATGTTTAATGTCTTTTTTTATTGTTTTAATTAAAATTTGAGTGAAACAAGGAAAAAAGGAAAGGTTGACCAACTCAACGCTATCTTTTGTTTGTAGGGTTAATACGTAATGACTATGCTTTATGAATGCTGTATAGGTATATAGACTACTCTCAAAGACAAAGGTAACAGAGTATCATCAGTGATAACATTTCAATAGCTTAAGTAATTTCCTTTTGTTTTCTGAACATAGGGAAGGCAATGATCCACTTGACCAAGGCAAGATAACATACTCAGAAATGTTGGAAAGTGTCTGCAAGTTTTCAAACGTCTTGAAGAGTTTAGGTAAGGATTTTTTCCTGTTAAAATATGTTCCTCTTTTTGGGCTTTTGTGATATTAATGAACTTGTTGAGGTCTGTTTGAGAGTTGTTTTGTCTCAAATTGGTGTAGTAAACATGTATGCTGGGTTTAGCAGATTGACTATTTCAGTGAGCCACCCGAAGGCATATGTATTTCTGTGATCTCTCTGTCTCTTCCTTTGAACACGATCTTTTATGTTTGTATGCTTGTGACCCACTATTTCCGGGGTGCCTTGATAGTTGAAGCAGACTTTGTGCTGTTGAAGCTAGAGAGGTTAGCAGAGTAAGCCTGATTCTCTGTAAGGACTTCCCTGTTGACATCCATCTCTTGGTGCTCATATGACCTTATGCAGTTGCGAGCGCGTAAAATTTCTACTAAAACTAAACTAAACTTACATTGATGTTGTTCAGGTATGTAAGTGTGTCCAAGTGGCGGGCCCACAAAGCAGCAGAAAATTAGGTGAATGGTGTGTTGAAATGCCCAAGCTCCCAAAAGTGAGACTAAAACTGACACTGCTGCATTTGTTCACTCAAATTTAATGAGATACATTCTAGACCTATCGCGTCCAGTTTGGCTGGAAACTATTAGATTTTAATTTTCAAGACGGACTCAGACAGTTTTGTTTTTATTATTAATTTAGTCAACTCACTGCGGGCATTGTTAATGAAAATGCTCACTCTGGGTTGACATGCGGGACAGACTGATTGCTTGTGGGTGAGATCTGGCCCATGGGCTGTATTTTGCCCATGCCTGGCATAGATGGCTGATGAGTTGATGGATGTTCTGGTAGGGTTTCCTCTACATCTCTTTTTATTATGTAATCAGTGTCACATTTGTCTTTTTCTGCTTTTAGAGAAATATTTTATACATATATTTGGCCATGGTCACCCTGACTCGTAGGTGGCTGGCTCCTTTGGTTGGCTCCTTCTTTCCCATCAAATACCTGTCTTGTTTATCATTCCTTCTTCTTTTCTCTGTATGTTATTCTCTACCAACACCTCTAATCTTTGGTTGTGGGTGGTTGGCGGGTGCTCTGGTGTGATTGACTACTTCTTTCCTTTCAAACATCTATCGTCTTTATCTCCCCTCCTTCTTTTTTATATAAATGTTTGTTACTCTCTTGTAACACCTCTAATCTTTTGGCGCTCATATGACTTTATGCAGTTGTGAGCACCGTAAAACGTCTACTGAAACAACATAATCTTCGGTTACCCCCCGGGATGGTGCTACTGACTGAAGTGTATTTAGGCCATTCCCAAAGGGTGGACATAAGCATGTTCTTATGCTCAGCCAGCAGAATTGTAAATGGGCTGATCCATCAATGTCATGCTCATAACTGCCTGAACTGCAGCTGGAAACTGCTGCTTTTTCTTTCCTTATCCTTACTATCATCATTTTCCTCTACTTCTTTTGTATGTTTATCACACTCTTGTGACCCTCTATTCCCGAGGTGCCTTGATAGTCGAAGCAGACTTTGTGCTGTTGGAGCTAGAGAGGTGAGTAGAGTAAGCCTGATTCCCTTTAAAGACTTTTCTGTTGACATCCACCCCTTGGCACTCATATGACCTTCTGCAGTTCCGAGCACCATAAAAAATTACTTTAAAAAAAACAACAACTAATCTTCAGCACTTGCACAACCCATTTGTGTTGCAAGTGCTGTAAAACTCTTACATAAACTAAAACTAAACTCTCTTTGACTTGCAGTTAACACTACTGCTCAGGCTCATTTGTTTGTCCTTGCAGCCTTGAGTGCTTGTTGACTTTCTGCAAAGAGGCAAGTTGAGAGGACGGTTGCATGCTTATTTTTTTATTTTTCCTCCCTTGTGTTTGAAATTTTCTGTGCTGTGGAAAGGCCACACTAGGAAGTGATCAGCGATGGATCCCCTCTCAGTTTGCTTAGGGAGAGCATCATGTCTGCCACAGCAGCCAGCCTCTCCCTCCTGTGAAGTGTAGGGCTTGTTTGTCCTCCAAACAAGGCAGAAACCAATATTTGCTTTGGTGGCCGCGAGTGCCAACTCAGCTGTATCTGAAGATATGCTCTTCGTGTTGCTGAAATATTTATTATTATTGTTGTAGTAAACGAAACTGACCAACTGGGGCATTTTTTATTTTTGAAATGGGTGCTAGGGTTGCAGTTCAGTATGAGCATTTGATACCTTTCAACTTTTATTGGTTACTGGTTGTTTGTAATTATTTAAGACTCAGATTATTTGGGTTTTTTAAAGAAGGTCAGCAGCGAAGAAGCAGGTGGTTGGTGGGTGCTCCAGTGTGGTCTGCTTCTTTTTCTTCTTTGCAGTTGCTATTCTCCAGATCTGTTCCTGGTGAAATGTGTGTGTGTGTGTGTGTGGGGGGGGGGGGGGGTTGTTTAAAAACAAATAAAATCTCGATGCATATTCCCCTAAGCTTTCATCTCCATAACAGATACTCAATAATATAAATTTGCATCAGGCGCTGGTCTATTCTTGGACCTATGGAACTATTGGTTCATTTGCCTTCCTTTTGGTGAAAAAAATATCCATCTATGTTGAATAGAAGTCTAAATATTGAAGGAGATCAGGGTGGCCTGGTTTCAGAGGTAAAATTAGGGAGAAAACGGCCTCCAAAGTTTGGTTACTTCCTTAGCCTGAAAGTCCGTGGAAACTGAAAATTAAAATTTTTGTGCCTTTAATCAATAAAATCCACACAAAAATGTGTTTTTTAATGGACATAAAAGGTTTTGAGCCCAAAAAAGAAAATTAGAAAAAAATTGCCCATCTGCCCCAAAATGCTGATTACTTTAATTTCATTATTTTGATGAGCGCAGTCTAAGATTTTGTCTACTTGTTGCAGGTGTGAAGCGTGGAGACAGAGTTGCCATTTACATGCCTATGATTGTTGAGCTGGTTGTTGCTATGCTTGCTTGTGCTCGCATTGGGGCTGTTCATTCCATTGTGGTAAGTGATTCACTTCAAAACTTGACTGCACTGTTTAACATTTTGTGTGTGAGTCAGACAGAGCGGATGATTAGTGGATGCCCTGATGGGGTTTGCTCATTCTTTCCTATCAAATATCTTGTCGTCCTTATCTCCCCTTCTTCTTTTTTGCTTTTACTCTTTTGTAACACCTCTAAACTTTGGCATGGGGGCTCTCGTGGCCTAGAGGTTAAGGTGTTGGCCTCTCATTCAAAGGTCCCGGGTTTGAATACGGGTACGTAACTACCGAAAAATTTTCTTCTCTAAAATTGTCTCTTTTCACCTCCTTTCCTGCTCTCGAGCAATGTTCTGTCGTCTGCTTTCGTCTCCTCTTTCTGCCCCCATCCCTTCACCTCCTTTGCCCCTTCCTCTGGGCTCATGACTCTTTCTACAGCCTTTCTACTGCTACTCCTTGGCTCCTTCGTACTGCTGTCTTTCAGCCACTCCCCTGTTCTTCTGGCCGGAAAGATCTACACCTAACCTTCTCGGACAAGGGCGAAAAATCTCGAAGGGCCTGTGCGCACGTTAAAGATCACTTGGTGGTCAAAAATCGATTAGGTAGGCTTCGGTCGCCACCGGGGCAAAATTCAACTGAAAAACTTTATTGTGACCAAATGCAGTTGCGAGCGCCGTAAAGCACTTACCAAAAAGAAAACAAAACAACACAGAAAAAAACTTTGGCATTTAGATCTATATGACTTTATTGTGCTACTAGTGCAGTAAAACTTTTTCTTAATTCAAAAGGAAAAAAAAGTCAGGTGGAAGTATTCTTGGTGATTCAGGATGAAGTGAGCGATCTATTTTATCAGTATAAATTGTTCACAGGTAAGAATAAAACTAAGGCGGACCTTCTTTTCTTTACAGTAATGGTACCAGATGTTTTAGAATGGGCCTTGTCAATGAAGCTTTTCCTTTACGAGATTTTCTGTAGGGCTATTGACGCTTAAAAAAAACAAACATCAATATGAACTGCTAGATTTTACCTGCCTTTTCTCTTTTCTTTTGCTGATAAGGGCACAGCTGGTCAGAGCTGGCCACAGCTGGGTTTGTGAGTGTGATATCACGGACCCACCTACTACTGCTTGTTGTGCTTTGTTTCTCTCACTCTCATCAAATTTGTAATCCTAGGTCCAGTGAAATTCATTTCTCTTTTTCTACTGTTATAAGATATAACTTTCTGGATTTTTTGTGAGTAAAGGTTTGCATGTTGCACATTACAAATTTTTTCAAAGATTAAGGTTCAGAATGGATTCAAATATGGTCATTTTTTGGCTTTATTAAATTTTTGGTTGTAGTGAATGAAAAAAAAATCAATCAAGCTTTGTTAATAGTACACATATGAATTTATAACTGTGTATTCTATGAAATTACTTATTTCTGTTTCAGTTTGCTGGGTTCTCTTCTGAATCTCTCAGTGAAAGAATAATTGATGCCAACTGCTATGCAATTGTAACGGCAGGTATGTGCAACTTAAAAATATTTTTGTGTCTTCATGTTGCTTAGGAAAACTAACATACTTTTCATTTGTTAATTGTGGGAATTTTGAACTGCTAATAAAATCTGTACTAGATGAAGCTACAGATCTGATTACACCCCAATTTTTTTGCTAACTCAGTTTGTAAAATTAGTCCCTTTAAATCGTTCGTGAAATGTATGTTTACTTGGATTCGTGTGGTATGTGTTAATGGGTCCCTTTAGATTTGTTCTGTTTTTTTTTTTTTACTGGACTGTTTTTGACCATTAATCATCCATGTCCACGTGTAACATTTGTCTTAGACAGTTTGCTACCCTAGAGTTACAAAGGTCTATATTCTCGGTACCTAGTTTTGAGAAATTTGACGTTAAAGACTTTGAGTTTCACAATAACATGTCAAGCTTTTTCAAATGCAGTTCCTTGAATATCTTGACAACAACTCAAAATAAACTTATGATTTTGATGGAGCAGATAAAACATTTGGTTTCTGACCTCTTGGTCTTAGTAATCCAAAAGGGCCAAAAATGACAGATAGAATTTTGCAATTTTAACGTAGCAAGTTGTCATAATGTGTACACATGGACACGGATCATAAACGGTCAAAATTAAGTTAACATAAAATGAAGAGCACAGTGTGATCTTAGGAGGTATTGTTTTATTGAGTTTCTCTATCTGTCTGCTGGGATGCTGTGTGTCATTCCTCTTCAGTCGGCCCTGACTGGCGGGGTTGAAGCAGCCGGCCGCCTAAATAATCTAAATTGTGTCTGAAAGGTGGTGTAAAATATGTACAATCAAAGACAACTTTTGGGATATTAAGACGGCTCACAAAGCTATTTACATTTGATCTATGTTCTATATGAAATGTATTGAGATGCTTGACCAGAATTAAAACACTGAAATATTTTATATTGAAGACAATAGGCACAAGTAAAAGAAAAGTTCAGTCTTTCGAAATAGAAACAAATCATCTGTCGTCATGAAAAAGTCAAAATTAAAACACTAAATTACTAGTATATTGGAAGCCAGCAAGAGTTACAGAAAATCTCTTTTCTAAATTGTAAAAAAAATAATCTGAAGTAACTTGTTACAAGGTTACCAATGGCCATGGCTAATAAATTTGTTCTGGTTGAGTGTATGCGAACTTGCTTGTTCATTTTGTCAACTGTAATGCTGATGCATACTTGCAGTTAACAGTTTTCTTTTTGCTTTGGTCTTACAGATGGTGTGTGGAGAGGATCGAAGCTGCTTAATTTGAAATCCATTGTAGACAAGGCTCTTGAAATATGCAAAGAAAAGTGAGTGTCTTATTCCGTTGTGTTGCTTGTTTTATCTGAAGGAAACTGTTATCCTTGTTTGTGCTTGTTATTGTTTGTCTGTGATGTTTTCATTTAGATGCTGACAGTATTTATCCTATTGACTTGTGGAAAGATTATAGCATATAAATAGAGTCTATACAGAAATTCACATTTTTTTAAAACTACTCTTCATTTAAAGCGCAAAGAGAATTTGAAGGTAAAAAGTAGATTTTATTATACTGATTGTCAATTACAATGGTCACTGAGGATAGAAGGAGAGAGGCTTTTGATCTTACCTTTGAGATGAAATTGACTGTATTCAGTTTGATTCTCTTGTTCCAGAATTCATTTGCGGGTGTTTCTTTTTCAATTTGAAATTTTTCTTTTTCATGCTTCAGAATACCCTGCAGAATATGCACCTTTTAGCTTTACAAAAATATGTGGTATTGTATTATTTCAAGTTTTACATTCTTAATTGCATAAGTGGAAATGAGATTATCAGTTGGTGTGGTGGTCTCTTTCAAAATGTCAGAATTCTTGTTGTCCAATTTCCGATTTTATTGGTAAATATCTTGCAGCCATTTTGCATTATATTGTGTTGCAATCAAAACAGATTGGGTTTCTGTTGTTTTACAATTATTTTTTTGATTGGGTAGTTGGTGGGTGCTCTGGTGTGGTTTGCTCCTTCTTTCCTATCAAACATCTATCATCCTAATCTCTCCTTCTTGTTTAATTGTGTGAGTGATTGGCGGGTGCTCTGGTGTGGTTTGCTCCTTCTTTCCTATCAAACATCTATCATCCTAATCTCTCCTTCTTGTTTAATTGTGTGAGTGGTTGGTGGGTGCTCTGGTGTGGTTTGCTCCTTCTTTCCTATCAAACATCTATCATCCTAATCTCTCCTTCTTGTTTAATTGTGTGAGTGATTGGCGGGTGCTCTGGTGTGGTTTGCTTCTTCTTTCATATCAAACATCTATCATCCTAATCTCTCCTTCTTGTTTGTGTGAGTGGTTGGCGGGTGCTCTGGTATGGTTTGCTCCTTCTTTCATATCAAACATCTATCATCCTAATCTCTCCTTCTTGTTTGTTTGAGTGGTTGGCGGGTGCTCTGGTGTGGTTTGTCTTCTTCTTTCCTATCAAACATCTATCATCCTTGTCTCCCCTTCTTTTTTTATGGTTGTTAATCTCTTGTAACACCTCTAATCTTCTGGCGCTCTATGACCTTATGCAGTTGTGAGCGCCGTAAAACCTATACTAAATCTAAAACTTCTTTTTTGTGTTTGTTATTCTTATAAAACACCTCTTATGTTCAGCATTTACATGATCTTATTGTGTTGCCGGTGCCGTAAAACGCTTACTGAGATATCTTATATTGTGTTGCGTTGGAATCCAAACAAATTGGTTTCCCAGTTATTTTACGATGATTTTTTTCTCCACCAGGGGGAAACCTGTGAACAAGTGCGTTGTGGTGCGCCATCTGAGCCCCGACGAGGAAGAGGTGACCAGTGAAGCAGACAAAGATGTGGAGGACTGTCCCGTTGCCAAACGTCCTTGTGGTAAACTCAAAGTACGTTGTTTCTAAAGTACGTTGTTTCTAAAGTATGTTGTTTCTCAATTTGTTTCATGTTTGTGCGGAAAAAGTCTAGGTGTGTTTTGTAAGGGAGGGGATAACAATTCTTTTTTCCCGACTCACTATTCTTTTTTTGGGGGGGGGGTTATTTTTCCGGTTACGAGTATTTTTGTTTGACTAGTGTTCGTTGATGGTTGGCGGGTGCTCTGGTGTGGTTTGCTTCTTCTTTCCTATCAAACGTCTATCGTCTTTATCTCCCCTCCTTCTTTTTTGTGTTTGTTACTCTCTTGTAACATCTCTAATCCTCAGCACTTATATGACCTTATTGTGTTGCAAGTGCCGTAAAACACTTACTAAAACTAAAACTGACTAGTGTTCTGAAGTCCATGGGGGAACATGGTCTGTTAAAGGTCGTGTTTTTTGCTTACCTCTGAAGAAGTGTTGTTGGGTATCTCAAGTTGAATAATTGATTTTCCGCAAAAGTGGATGGATGATTGGTGGGTGCTCCGGTGTGGTTTGCTTCTTCTTTCTTATCAAGCATCTATTGTCCTTTCTCTCCTCCTTTTTTGAGTTTGTTACCCTCATGTAAAACCTCTAATCGTCGGTTCTTATATGACCTTATTGTGTTGCGAGTGCAGTAAAACTCTTACTATCTTTCTTCCCTTTTTCTGTTTGTTACTCTCTTGTAACACCTTAATCTTCAGCACTTATATGACCTAATTGTGTTGCAAGTGCTGCAAAACCCTAACTAAAACAAAGATGACTTTTTTTGTTTTGCTCCGACCAGATTGGCTGGCAGAATGGCAGAGACGAGTGGTGGCATGTTCTCATGAGCCAGGCAAGCAAAGACTGCGCCCCGGAGTGGCTGGATGCGGAGGACCCGCTGTTTATGTTGTACACAAGGTACTCTTTGTGCTCAGCTCAAGGGTTCCTAGACTGAGGGGGTGGTGCGGGTGGTTGGAGGGGACTCTGGTGTGGTTTGCTCCTTCTTTCCTATCAAAACATCTGTCATCCTATCTTGCCTCCTCCTTTTTTGTGTTTGTTACTCCTTTGTAACACTTCTAATCTTACGAGTGGTCCACTTGGATAATGTCGTTATTATGTATAAAAAATGCAAGGGGGAAGTGGGTTTTTGTTTTAGAAAGAGTTTCACAACACAGTAAGGTCATATAGGTGCTGAAGATTAGGGGTGTTACAAGCGAGTAACAAACACAAAAAAAAGGGGGGAAGTAGGAAGTGATTATTTTTTCCGGGGAATGTCTTAGACTGGTGGTCGTTAGAGCAGGTTGGACTGTACTGTGTTTTGACTCTGTGGAATTGAAATGACTGACAGTTCTTACAGAACTTAAACAGATGGGTGATGGGTAAAGGCCAGGACTATCCGAGCAGAGAAATAAATGGTGAACAATGATAGCAGAGAAATAAATGGTGAACAATGGTTGCCGATTTCTGTACCAAATTTGGCATGTGAAGAGAGAAAAAAACCCTGAAAGGTGATGAAGATCTCCTGTTTATGTTCCACCTGATACAAATGTTTGCTTCTTGGGGTTTTTTATAGTGAGACTTCTGTTCATTGGGGTAATGACTAGATGGGTTTTTTTATTTACTGGTTTTATTGATTTTTAAAAACACAAGATTCAAAATGCTCCTATTCACCTGGGATAGATTTGACATTAAGGGATAAAGTTATTGTCATCAGCAAGCTGTTCAACTGTTCTAAATTGAAAAAACAAAATTATTCAGTAGACAGAAAAAGAAATAATTTTCCTAAAGAAATGTACCTTCTTTATGTATCATTTTGCTTTTTTCCGATTTACAATTTGAATTGCAACAAAAATTCTTGAGCACATGCCACCAATACCACAGATTAAGACAACACAAGAAGAGAAAGTTTTAAAATTTTGGGCCCAGTACAAGCAAACATCTGGCTGACATTCTGTTTTTATGAAATAATCCAGTCCTAATTGTCTTGTACCAGCGGCTCTACAGGCAAGCCCAAGGGTGTGCTGCACACAGTAGCAGGCTACATGCTCTACTCAGCCACCACCTTCAAATACGTCTTCGATTACCAACCAGACGACGTTTATTGGTGCACAGCTGATGTCGGATGGATTACGGGGCATTCCTACGTGTGCTACGGACCCATGGGGAATGGTGCAACAGGTGTCATTGTAAGTAATAGGATGGCCTTTAGTAGGTGCTGAGTCATTAAATTTGCTCAGCTTGAATGGTAGGCAAAGAGTAATGAGGATCTGAATGTCAAACGAGGGGCTAAGAGTGGTGAATGTACATGCATTGATATCAAGCTGATTATTGCCTAAGGCAAGTTTTTGTTTTGTCTTTCCTTTTTCTCCTTTCCTTCCTTTTCATTGTTTGCTTTCTTTATTTTTCTTTTCCTTATACGTTTTCATTCACTTTTAGCTGTTGGCAGTTGCTATGATACCCCCGGGGCGGTGCTACTGACTGAAGTGTCTTTATGCCATTCCCAAAGGGGGGACATTAATATTTTGTTATGCACAGTAGAATTGTAAATTGTAAATGGGCTGATTTATCAATGTCATGCTCATAACTGTGCGTGAACTGCGACTGGGCACTGCTGCTTTTTCTTTCCTACTCCTTGCTATGGTCATTTATCCTCTACTTCTTCTGTATGTTTGTCACACTCTTGTGACCCGCTATTTCCTAGGTGCATTGATAGTCAAAGCAGACTTTGTGCTGTTGAAGCTAGAGATGTGAGCTGAGTAAGTCTGATTACCTTAAGGACTTCTCTGTTGACATCCATCCCTTGGCGCTCATATGACATTATGCAGTTGCGAGGGCCATAATAACTCTGCTAAAACTAAAACTAAGCAGTTGCTGTTTTCGTCTATTAAGGAAATCAATACTTTTCTGCCTCTCTCTTTATTATTAACATCTTTTTAGCTTTCCTTTCCTTTTAGCATTGAGTTCAGCTTGACAATAAGCAGGTAACATTTTATAATATTTTGTCAGCACAAATAATTGTGGGTTTTTTTCTACTTCTTTTTCAGTGAAGTATGGAGCTCTCAGTTTCATTTGTATTTGTCTGTTTTCCTGTACTTTGTATATGTATACACAGGTGGTTGGAGGGCACCACTGATTGGTCTTCCTTTTTTTACTTTTCCTCAGTTGTTTCTGTCTGTCTGTATTGTCTTACTTTTCCCCCCAGCTCTAAATGACTATCAATGTACTTTTATTGATGTGCTTTTCTCTAAACAAACAAAAAGAAACAAGCATGAACCTAAAGGATCCCGCTACGGCACTTACATGACCTTGATGTGCTGAAAGAGCCATTCAACTCTTACTAAGACAAAAGAGTCCTCAGACCAGGAGGAACAACTGGGTGTGGGAGCTCTATGTGATCCAGTTGTTAATTATTTTCTTGACTTTGAAATGCCGTTGTTCTTTTTTTCCCCCTGTTTCAGTTCGAAGGCACTCCATTCTACCCTGACGCCGGTCGGTTTTGGAATGTGGTGGAGAAGTATAAAGTGACCAAGTTCTACACTGCTCCAACTGCAATCCGCTCCCTGATGAAGTTTGATGACTCTTTTGTCACCAAGTAGGTTCAAAGTGAAATTAAAAAAATCATGTATAATTTTGTAACTGAAAACAAAAAGTCTGAACAGTTTTTTTCTATATAAAAATTGAATGAAAATGTGCAATGATTTTGAGAGGGTATAAATCGTGTATTTAAAAAAATCAAATTTGTCCAGTTTGATACTTCTTCACACCCATGTGGGGCTGTGCTAGTGACTGAAGTGTCTTTAGGCCATTCCCAAAGAGGGGACATTAATATGTTCTTATGCACAGTAGAATTGTAAATTGTAAATGGACTGATTCATCAATTCATGCTCATAACTGCCTGAACTGCAACAGGGAACTACTGCTTTTTTTTTCCTAATCCTTACTTCCTTACTGTCGTCATTTATCCTCTACTTCTTTTGTGTGTTTGTCGCACTTTTGTGACCCTCTATTTCCGGGGTGCCTTGATAGTCGAAACAGACTTTGAGCTGTTGAAGCTAGAGAGGTGAGCAGAGTAAGCCTGATTCCCTGTAAAGACTTCTCTGTTAACAACCACACCTTGGCGCTCATATGACCATATGCAGTTGTGAGCGCGGTAAAACCTCTACAAAACATTTTTTTTAAAGAGGGGGGGGGACTTTAACATTTTCTTATGCACAGTGGAATTGTAAATGGGCTGATTCATTAATGTCATGCTCATAACTGTGCCTGATCTACAACAGGGAACTGCTGCTTTTTCTTTCCTAATCCTTACTATTGTCATTTTTCCTCTACATCTTTTGTATGTTTGTCTCACTTTTGTGACCCTCTATTTCCGGGGTGCCTTGATAGTCGAAGCAGACTTTGTGCTGTTGAAGCTAGAGATGTGAGCAGGGTAAGTCTGATTCCCTGTAAAGACTTCTCTGTTAACTTCCTTCCCTTGGCGCTCATATGACCTAATGCAGTTGCGAGGGCAGTAAAAACTCTACTAAACTAAAACACCTTCACACACACCCACACTCACCCTCTCACACATCCTCTCACAAAAAAGGCAGTGACACTGATGATGGTGCTCCCCCCCCCAGATATGACCGTTCTTCCCTGAAAGTGCTGGGCACGGTGGGCGAGCCCATCAACCCCGAGGCCTGGCTATGGTATCACCGTGTGGTGGGCCAGGAGAACTGTGCCATAGTGGACACCTTCTGGCAAACAGAGACGGTGAGGTTTTGTGGCGGATTTTGTTTAGTTGTTAATGAAAACGCCAGGGATAGAGAAAATTTAGTTGTAAATGAATATACCAGGGGTACAGAAAATTTAGTTGTAAATGAAGACGTCAGGAGGGAAAAAACAGGGCTGCAAGTTTTGGATGATTTTGTTTTCTTTTAAATAAAGACATGGG